ATAAGAGGCTGCATGGAGGTAGAGTTGGTGTGTGGTGCTGTTCCAAAGTGTCATATGCCATTGTTTCTGCTAGCCGAACGTATGAACTGTCAAGATGACGTGGAGTACCAGTGTTTCCAAAAGTTTGGATCAAGATATTCTAAAAGTTGTTCAAGAGCATATTTAGCCTCACCGTCTATGAGAAGCCACGTTTTTGTCATCATGTTTAAAACTAATGGTAATTCTCACGAGTATATCAATGATTTGAAGAAAATGGGCGCCCTGGAAGCAACCGGGTTGTGGCGTACGTGTAGCGAGAGGTCAGGGGGCCCTCGCCTGATATCTTTAACGAAATCTCGTAGATGTAATTTCCTATGTATATGACAGCAATTTGTTCAAAAAAAGCACGCATATTTTTAGGGCAAACACACAACAAAAGATAGTCCACATCCCCTATCCCTCCATTTCTAACTTCGTGGCATGGCGCTATCTCGATCGCTTTGTACACGTGTGATTTTTGGTTAGGGTTAGGGTTATTTTTTTGGTTATTCAAAAGAATGATTTTATCGCTGTCCACATTCTCAGTATGTGTTTTACTCTGCTTGCAATGTACAAGCAGATGATTTTGACTTGAGTCTACATGTACATCTCTCATTTGTCCATCGATGTGACATGTCTACTGTATCCGAGTTCTGACTACTTTCCTCGTCGGGGTATAACCATTTGTTCAGCAATTCCAGGCTCCGTGTGGCTACCTTTCTGTGTATAGAGCCGTAAGCTGAGCAAATTCCTAGGGGGGGGGGGAATTTCATGACTCAACTGTGTAATGATGAGCGACGAGCGCGACTATTGATCGACGTCCATAGTGTGGTAGGGGTGGGTCTGAGACAAGGCCTTCACGGATAAGTGATAAAAAAACACGTTTGAGTTATTTACGATTATTAGCTAGGCTTATTTTTTAATTTTGCTCCAAAATCTAGGCGGGCAGCTGCCCCCTTGCCCCCCCCCGCAGCTATAGGTTACGGCCCTGGTGTATATTTGCCAAACGATACTACTGCGAGTCGGACTCCATGTGCTTCTAAGATAAGCCTTCAAGGCAACGTCTGACATGAGATATATAATATCTTAAATATATAATGACCAATTGGTTAATGTCAAATCTACCGTAAAAGGATCAATCACTCGATCGATCAATTACACAGCTAACCAATCAATCAACATCCAATAGATAATTAATAGAGTACAATTGCTAATATTGACACTTTGTACTTTCTAAAAAAGTAGTACCTAAAAATTTATCAAGGCGAGTGCAGCGAGCTTGATCAGGTGTGGGAAATAGAGCCGACTAATAAGGACCGTTAATATGTGGCTTTTTACTAATGTACGAAACATGTTCATATAGTTTTGCGCGTATATTGAACTATAGTTTCCGAATTGCATAATTATATGATATTTCACAATAATCTGTCCACATTTCTTCTTCAACACCACGTTTTTTCAAAGTAACTAAACTGATGCTCAATTAAGTGTCTCGTTCTGGTCCAACATCTCAGTGAAAGAACGTGTCATTATTGAGCTTATTAAGCAGAAATTATTTTGAAATCAATAAAACAAGTAAGCATTAATTAAGAGAGGTAGCCATTGTGGCGATTGCATGAATCTAAATAGCAGTCACAATAGTGTAGATACCAGGGCATTAGCTAGCTCAATTTGCCTGGGACAAAATCAGGCGCGGTTTGTATAGGCTACTGTTAACAACTACTACTGTGGCAACATCCCGGTAGCACTTGCTCTCGTCCCAATGTTCCCGTGCTAACTATGGCCCTTGCTACTATTAGGCATGAATGAGAGGGAGATGGAATAAGATATGGGGTGGGAAGAAAACGCGAGAGAAAGAATAGGCGTGCACGAGAGAGGGAGAGAGAGAGAGAGAGAGAGAGAGAGAGAGAGAGAGAGAGAGAGAGAGAGGAGAGAGAGAGAGAGAGAGAGAGACGAGAGACGAGAGAGAGAGAGAGAGAGAGAGAGAGAGAGAGAGAGAGAGAGACGACGACGACGACGTACGTCGTAGTAGTAGTAGTAGTAGTAGTAGTACGTAGTAGTATAGTAGTAGTAGTAGTAGTAGTAGTAGTAGTAGTA